TCTCTCTCTCTCTCTCTCTCTCTGATTACATAAACTGTATTGACTGATGAACACAAATGAGCACATTTGACACATAGCCATCTGATACGACCAAATGGTCGAACTTGAATACCAAAGTAATGGCAAATCAACTATATTTTACTTTTCTGTTGATAAGTATAATATTTGTCATAAGGATTGACAACATTTGATCATTTATTGACCACATTTTTTAAAGCCATAGCTCTAACAGTAAGCGAGTAGTAGATAAAATGAATGAGCATGGTGAGGTTTCGGCCTACAACCGTACCCTCTGATGTTATGGGCAGAATATTTATGTTTCAATAAATAATTAATTAACTATTTCTCAATGGTTTTCCGTTTGTACAGTTGAGGTCGCATTAGTGCACATTTGGAGGCATCGAAATGCATGTATTTTCTCATCAAATGATAGACCGATAAATAAATCTGAAGTTATTTTTCGATAATCCAAAAATTGTATCAAAATTATATTACTTTTTATAAATTCCAATACCTGTACTTTCAATGCACTGATTTATTCTACAGTGCTTTTTGCGATAGTGTTGTTTGGTTACTAACCACGATTAATTATAAATTATATATAACTAATTGGAATTTTACATTCAAATTATTATTGAATACATTGATAGTGATAAATATGATATTTTCATTATGTTAAATGTACACAAATTTTATTAGCGTAATAAGTGATTAGTTAATGAAACACTAGGAAAATGAAACGCCATTGAATGTTCAAAATTGGCCGATTTAATAGTATTGACCACATTTCTCACTATTATCAGTGTCTCTGCGATAGTGTTTTGTCGAAAACGGTTAATTTGATTTTAAATCTCTTCACCGAATTATGATCAGATAACACGAAAATCGAATGCATTATAATTTGATATAATTATTCAACATGATAGTATGCTTAATATCGATTTTAAAAATAGCCTATTTTTGTTGAATTCAATGAAATGGATGAATACAATTATTGTGGTACACAGTGTGTCAATATTAGATGCCAGGGCCACCCAGGACTTATTTTTATTGTTAATCAATGTGAAATATAGGAGTTTAGGCCCTTGTGTCTTTTGTATATTATGAAACATTCTGTAATTTGTTGTATAAAAATGAAACTACTGGATTTTAATCATTCCTTTTCTATATTAAATATTAGTTCCTGCTCTACAAATTTAATATTGCGAGCATCACTTTCCCTTTTTGTTGTAAAACAATATTTAACATTTTAAAAATAAAAATATTGAACGTATCCTAACAATAGCATTGAAAATGTTGAAAACTTTTATGCATCCCCCGAATTGTGATTAAGCTATAGCATAGCTTGTGATCCTTGTTTTCTTATAAAAGATTATTTTAATTAGGATATGAATTTGATTGTAAACCAATTGGTGCTTATTTTGCAGAACATGTGCGAGAGTTCAGTTGCGGTCGATTTCATTACCGGACTTTCTATTTGGACGCTGAAAGGGATGCGCTATATGTGGGAGCGATGGATACGATCTATCGTTTGAATCTAAACAATATAAACAAGACTAGATGTGAGACGGATTCGTTGTCGTTGTCACCAAACAATGTGGGCTCCTGTGTCTCGAAAGGCAAATCAGAGCTTTACGACTGCAGGAATCACATCCGAGTGATTGAGCCCATCGGCAGTGATAGCAATAAGTTATATATTTGTGGTACTAATGCTCACAACCCTAAAGATTGGGTCATTTATGCAAATTTATCATTATTACCGCCTCACGAGTCATTTCCCGGCATTGGCACCGGTATTGCTAAATGTCCATTTGACCCTGATGATAATGCAACTGCAACCTGGGTCGAACATGGCAATCCTGATGGACTCCCCGGTCTATACAGTGGATCAGTTGCAGAGTTTACAAAAGCAGATACTGTTATCTTTAGGACAGATCTCTATAACTTGACGACTGGACAAAAAGTACAGCCATTCAAACGTACCGTAAAATATGACTCTAAATGGCTCGACAGTACGTTTGCTTAGCACTTGTTTTTATGCATTTAATATTAAAATGTGTTTTCTTGGATACAATAGAACCCAATTTCGTGGGATCTTTCGATATCGGAGATTATGTTTACTTCTTCTTTCGCGAAAGTGCTGTCGAATACATCAATTGTGGCAAAAATATCTATTCACGCGTCGCCCGGGTTTGCAAAGTAAACCATCACTTGTTATCATTGCTTACGAACGCAACTAATTATAATACAATGCTTTCATAGCGCGATACGGGAGGCAAGAATATATTGAACAAGAATTGGGCCTCATTTCTGAAGGCACGGCTCAACTGTTCCATTCCCGGAGAGTTTCCCTTCTATTTCAATGAGATTCGTGAGTCTTATCTATTTATAACTCAATACATGTATTGGTTTTAATTGTGTTTTCATATGAATAACAGAAAGCATTTACAAACATCCGGACGACAACAAAAGGTTTTACGCCGTGTTCTCGACATCAATGAATGGTTTGATTGGATCAGCCATTTGTACGTTTAATCTGAACAAAATAGAAGAGGTTTTCTTAGGAAAATTCAAAGAACAGTCCACTTCTTCGTCGGCATGGCTTCCAGTGCTGACGAGTAAAGTGCCGGAACCTCGTCCGGGCACGTGTGTCAACGACACCCAAGTCTTACCCGACTCTGTGCTCAACTTTATTCGCGGCCACCCATTGATGGACTCAGCCGTGGCTCACGACAACGGAAAGCCTGTGTTCTATAGGCGCGACATTATATTCACGCGTTTAGTCGTCGACCGACTAGAAGTCGATGGCATTGAATATATTGTCTATTTTGGCGGAACAAACACCGGAATGGTGTACAAAGTGGTCGAGTGGTACGACCGGTCCGGTGAAGTCCACTCTAATCTCGTGAGCGTATTTGAAGCCACAGTTCCCGAACCAATCAGAGCTATGGAGATATCAAACAAACACAAATCACTGTACGTGTCATCGGATTCAGTGGTCCGACAGTTCAATCTGTTGATGTGTAAACCCAGATATGAGAACTGTGTTCGTTGTATTCAAGACCCGTACTGTGGTTGGGATAGAGATCACGCAGAATGCAAGCCATATGTGATCGGGTAAGTGATGAACCATTTCTAGCGCTTGAATTAGAAATTCAATTTTACCTCCATTTCAATGACAGCCTTATTCAAGACATAACGAACGCCACTCCAGGCGTTTGCGACAACAGTATTAAACACAAGCAAATGAAAGCTAATTGGGGGCAAAGTATACACCTCTCGTGTCCGATCCATATACCAGATATTGAAAGTATTAGTCCAATTCTGGGACCCATTAAATGGATGTATTATAGAAGTGATCATTCGGGCGGTTATGAAGTATTCACCCGAAGAGACCGTTTTGTTCGCACTTCAGATAACGGACTCGTTATTCTGGGTATCAGTGATCGCGAAAACGGTCGATACGATTGTAAATTAGGCTCTAATACTCTCTTCAGTTATACAATTACTGTCGATCCAAGTATGAGATGATTGAGACATTGAGTCAATGATTTGATTCATTAATTGTTTGACATTTATTTGACAGAAACATGTAATGCGCCGACGGATACAGAATATCGAAAGATATACTCCGATTGGTGCCATGAATTTGATAAGTATAAGCAAGCGATGAAGGCCTGGCAGGTCAGACAAGCCGTAAGTTACAACTATATCACTTATTACTACCACCATATGACCATCTGATGACCAGCTGCTCATTTATTTGATTTTTTGCTTTTTAAGAAATGTCAAACCAATGGACACCCAAATGATGTATCGATTGGGACTCTTGTTTGAATGAAGTGAAACCTTAAGTAAAGTTTTTTGCTTATGGTTTCTATCAAATGGCAGTCTTTTCCAGAAAATGTGCTCAAAATGTGGTCAACAATACATCGCTTACTGATAATAACATTGGTTTTTGGATTAAATAATTGAATGAAATATTGCTGTGATATATATATATATAAAGATGTCGTTCTTTAGGACTCAAACCCTCAATAGACTCAACAAACTGTGCTTTTGTATTATAATAACCAAAGAATAGCTGAATATTTGACTTTCATAGTGAAAAGCAGTACTCGTATTGATATGAATCCGATTCTGAAGACAAAGTCTAATTACTGTCGATCCAAGTATGAGATGATTGAGACATTGAGTCAATGATTTGATTCATTAATTGTTTGACATTTATTTGACAGAAACATGTAATGCGCCGACGGATACAGAATATCGAAAGATATACTCGGATTGGTGCCATGAATTTGATAAGTATAAGCAAGCGATGAAGGCCTGGCAGGTCAGACAAGCCGTAAGTTACAACTATACCACTTATTACTACCACCATATGACCATGTGATGACCTGATGCTCATTTATTCATTTGATTTTTTGCTTTTTAAGAAATGTCAAACCAATGGACACCCAAATGATGTATCGATTGGGACTCTTGTTTGAATGAAGTGAAACCTTAAGTAAAGTTTTTGCTTATGGTTTCTATCAAATGGCAGTCTATTCCAGAAAATGTGCTCAAAATGTGGTCAACAATACATCGCTTACTGATAATAACATTGGTTTTTGGATTAAATAATTGAATGAAATATTGCTGTGATATATATATAAAGATGTCGTTCTTTAGGACTCAACCCTCAATAGACTCAACAAACTGTGCTTTTGTATTATAATAACCAAAGAATAGCTGAATATTTGACTTTCATAGTGAAAAGCAGTACTCGTATTGATATGAATCCGATTCTGAAGACAAAGTCTAATAATTAATGAAAATTGTGTTATTTGTGAATATATTGTGTATAAATGGATGAATATCTCATCAAATGTTTCCCCATTTAATTATCAAATACTTTTAAAGCCAAACTTGAGTTGAATTCTTGTGAATCCAATGTTAGGAATGGTTTTCAGCAAATCGTCTCGAATTGCAATCGAGAATCCATTTATCAATTTATAAAGAGTGCCATCATTTCAACACTCATTCAAATTATAACTACAAATACTGGTATTATTCGGCAACAAAAGAGTGGCATAACTACTGTTGTCAACGATTAACAGATAATTTGGTTCAAAAGTGTCTGAATATGCAATTATTGGAGCAAAAGAGATGCCAAACAATCATTAAAATTGGAAATGAAATATCTATTATGAATATCTCCTTAACTGTGATTTACATAAATATCTTTTATTCCCAGATCTAGTTATCATCAATTCATTCATGTCTTAGGATCACAAACACAGAGTAAATACTTTTATTTATTGATATAATTAACAAATACAACACTGAATCCAATTTTAAACAAATCTTAATTTTATGTCAAATAGTGTACAGATTTTCATACAATTCACTAATCGATTGTGTTTTATGTAAAAAATAATAATATAATAAATTATAACATTTAAATGAAAAATCTATAAAATGCGAGCATTTATTAACTAATTTACTCCTAATTTTGATGATAACATTATAAAAGTAAAAGCGTTGATATTATCACCAATTCTTGAACTCTTTATCATGAGTTAATAAATCAAAGAATAATTATAATGTTTGATATCGTTATTGAGTCCACCCCTCAGTCTTTGGGATCAGATCTTAATAATGCTGCTCAAGACGTGTTGATCACAACAATGTATTCAATTATAACTAATAGCTAAAGTCGATCCCGGATTCGACGCATGAAACCATTGCAATGCTCTTTATTGGGGGACCGACACCAGTGCTCCACCACTGCTCCACACCCCACACACCCCTCCCCTCAGGCCATTTCACGCTCACCTCACCTAACCATACCTGTTATACACGTTATATTCAATGCCTGCTTATCACTACTGCTATACAATTATTTCTCTATTTCTTTTGAAACTAGTTTTTCTCTATTCTCTGTGTTTGCACTTCGCTTAATACACACTTCCCTTCGCTTTCCCCCTCTGCTATCATTCACTCCATATTTTTAATAACTTCATTATGTTTTGCGAGTTTTCATAATTTATTATCCATTCGTAAAACAAATCACTTTTCAAAGAGACTCAAAAACGAATTATTTATTCGGCATTTGATTTGTGAAATAATTTTTAAAATAAATATTCATTTAATTAATTCTTTTGAATTATGGATAGTTTAGCAAATATTTTGATTAAAATACATATGGATTAAAATTCAAGTGATTTAAAATTTAATCATGGTACATTAGAAAATAAATTTACATGACTTGAAAGCATTTTATATTTTACAAAAATAATACAAATAGAAAAACCATTCATTGGTTTTCGTTTTTATTATCATTCAAATTAACATAAAGTTTAGCTACAGTTGCGTTCCGTCCGACGAAATCACGCTTTTTATTGTTTTCTTCATTCAATTTATTCGTCCAAATATTTAATAACGATTGCGAAGCCATTGACGGAGTCTTGTTTGACGGCTCCACTCCATTG